AAGGAACAAATGACAATAACTTTTAAAATTTATCTCAATGTTTCTTTATGTTCTTGTGCATAAAAAGTCACTTAACGAGCATGTTAAAAATACACATTCTTGGGATTTGCTCTCTAAAGCAGGGCTGGCAAACTCTGGCCATTGTTCAAATTTGTTTCATTGCCTGCTTTTGTATAGCACACAGATAAGAATTTTCAATGGTTGGAAAGTTAGAAGAGAAATATTTTTGATGCATGAAAATTATATGTAATTAAAATGTCAATGTTTATATAAAGTTTTATTGGAACACAGCCACACTCATTCATTCACATATTGTCTATGGCTGCTTTCATGCTGTATCAACAGAGTTGAGTAGTTTTGACAGAGACCATATGTAATACCTAAAATATTTACTCCCTGTCCCTTTAGAGTAAAAGTTTGCTAACCTCTGCTCTAAGACTCTGATTCAGAAACTGTCAGGTAGGAACTAGGAAACTATTTCAACTTGTTTCCTGGGTGATTATGATGCAGGGGGTCTCCAGATCACATTTAAAAAAATAATGCAGTATAAGACTTGTGAGCAACCTTCCCTTCTTCTCACTTATCACACCTACTACATCAACAAGTCCTATCAACTTTATCTTCCAACATCATCTAGAATATGACCGTTTTTTACGATGTCACTGCTATCAAGCTATTCCAAGCCATTATTTCTCATCTGGATTCTTGTATCGGCTTCCTAATTAGTCTATTTGCTTCTGCCCTTATCTCCTACTGCCCATTCTCAATACAACAGCCAGAGTGCATGTGTTAAAAGCTTAGTCAGATTATGCAACTTCTTTCCTCAAAATCCTCCAGTTTTCTTTCTACTTCTCCCCCTTTCTCACAAGTCTAGCTACATTGGCCTCCTAATTGTTCCTCAGAAACTCTAGGGGTGCTCCATCCTTAATGCTAACACAGGTCGTTTTCTCTAAGTGTGATAATCTTTCCTCCAAAAATCTACATGACTTTCAGTTTTGTCTCCTTTAGGTCTTTCATTAGCCATTGCCTTTTTAGATCCCTTCTGTAACCACCTTATCTGAATTTATAATCTTAACCGGACTGCCTACCTCCCTTATGCTATCTATCATGCTATAATACACTTTGCTTCTTTATTTTGATTATGGGTCACCTTTCCTACATGAGGGAACCATGAGGGTCAGGATTTTTATTAGTCTGCTCTATCCTTAGATTCTAAAAAAGTTCATGACTCAGTGTAGGTTCTCGATAAATATTTGAGTAAAGAAATGAACCCTAGATTCCCATTCTGTGCTTGACAGATAATACAGGACATCCATCAAATATTTTTTGTATGCAGAAACAGTTGCCAGGAGTATAAATATAAGACTCATTTCTGAAAAATGGTGCAATATCCACATAACCACTGTAGATAGGAGGAAAAATAAAGCAGCTAGTTCAATCTCAAACAATAACTTCATTACAAAATGTGCTAAGGAAAGGAGAGGATGGGTACAGATATGAAAATGGTAACTGGATGAAAATAAAGTTGAAAATGTTCATAAGAGATTCCAGGAAACCACATTTCATAATCAAGCTGCCTCCTAAAGGTCAGTGTGCCTACTGCAGGTTTTATGGTTCACCATCAAGTTGTGCAATTTGAGGAGACTGACACCCATTCCCAAAGGGGAAGCAAGTAGGATGTGACTCACTTTGGTTCAAATGAACTCTTTAGGAAACATCAGCTTTATAAGAAAATATGAAGCAATTTTAGATATATTTGAACTTGATTCCTCTGAAATAAAAATTGGAATGGAAATTTTCTTTTATTTTAATCCTCTCCTTTAAAAAAATTAGTCATCTAATTTTACATATATAAAACTTCATTTTGTGGATTAAACAGTAGGTTATTCTCACATAGACACAGATTTTGACTATTGCATTGACTACTAAAGGATACTTTTTAGAGAGAAAAACAAAACTACATTCTATATCTAATCCTCCATGGATGAATTATTTGGCTTATCTCCAAGGAACTGACTGTACATGAATTCACACCCCTCAGTTAATTCGATCATTTAAGTAATTGTGAATATTCAAAGGTAATCAGTGAATATTCAATCCACTATTAAAAATGCCACCTCTATATTAAGTTTGTGACATTTTCAAAATGAATTGTTGATGAATGCCAAAAGGGCTGAGGGTTTTAAATCAATTTGAATTTTAAAACTAAATAATTGTTAGAAAACTTAATTCCTGCACATGTTGAAATTTCCTGAAAATTAATGCAATAAAGAACACAGTTTCTATTCGATATAGAGTTTGCTCTGTCAACTTGAGCTGGCCACTAGAGCACAGGTGTTCTATTTAGAGCATTCTAACACTGGGTGGAAGATTGGGCTAGATCAGACAGAGAGAGGCAACTTATAAGGTCCCCTCCAAAACAAAGATTGTTTAAATCCTATTATTTTATATTGAGATATCTAATTATTCTAATTCCCTCACCTCCCATTTTTTTCTGCTTAACTATGTACTATCTTAAATCAGTTTATTGACAAGGGAGAGTGAGACTAATAACTGTCAAGATGACAGATTGAACTTTCAAACTATGAGCTTATAATAGTTTTATGTGACTATGAGATGGTAATAGCAAGTAATATTTCTGTAGCACTTTACATTTTACAAAGCACTTGCAGTTCCATTATTTCATTTGATATTTCCTCAACTCTATGATTCAGTTATTACTAACAAAACTCATTCATTGATAAGCAAATGGAATTCAGAGATTCCTCAAGACACACAGCCAGTAAGTCATAGAATGAGGAATCAGATCTAGGGCTTCAGATTGTGTTTCTCTATACTACAGTATATCTATTTCACTTGCCTCATCCCCTGTTTTCCCCCAAGAAAAGCAACACTGTGAGAGAGAAACACTGTTGTTGTCCCTTTTACAATAAGTCATAGAATGAGGAATCAGATCTAGGGCTTCAGATTGTGTTTCTCTATACTACAGTATATCTATTTCACTTGCCTCGTCCCCTGTTTTCCCCCAAGAAAAGCAACACTGTGAGAAACACTGTTGTTGTCCCTTTTACAGATAAATTCACAAAGATAGTAGGTGATAGAAGTGGAAATTAAATCTAGGCATACTGCCTAAAAGTCCCATGTTCTTTCATCTATAATGTATATATTATAGTGTATAGTTTTATTGCTGTTTGTGATGTGAGGAAGACCAAAAAATCTAATAGCATCAGTTGTGGATAATAGATGATAAGGAGAGAGAATAAAATCAGAGAAAGCATGGCATCAAGGCTATTTCTCTCATCAGGCCACTGTCTACCCGCACCTTGCCCCCAGCCCCCAGCCTCTAGCCCAAGTTAGCACTGAGGAGAGATGTCAACAGGAGAAAATAAATTCGGGTTGTTAAGGGAATTAACATGATGTGTGGAGAATTTCCACTTCTGTCTGCTTTGACATGCCATTTCTTGAAACTTTCCTGATTAGTCTGTGAGCTCCTCAGAGGTCACAAAACTGTATATTTTGTCTTTCTATTTCACACATATAATAAAAATAGCTAACGGTTGGTGAGAGAGTAAAACTCCTCACTTTAAAATATAAAACTCTGCATTTATTAACACATTTAATCTTTGTCATAATAGGCACATAGGCATCATATAAAATAGGCACTATTAAACCCCTCTTTTTTTTAAAGATAAAGAAATGAGGCACGTAAAGTTTAGATAACTTCCTTAAAGTAATAGTATTTAGTATTTAGCAGAAAAAGAAGGAAGGAAGGAATTGCTCCAGCTTAGGGTGAGATGTTATTAAACTGAAGACAACAATTGTTTGTTCTTTTTTTTAACCCTTGGAGGGAGGGAGGGACATAGGAAAGAGGGAAGTAGATGAGACAGGAGGAAAGGAAGGAAAGAAAAGGAGGGAGAGAGAAAGAGAGGGAAGAAGAGAAAGAAGAAAGAAACAAAGGAAAGAAGAGCGAGGGAAGGAAGGAGAGAGGAAGGAAGAAAAAAGGGAAAGAAGATATGGAGGACAAAGGGAGGAGGAAGGAAAGGAGAGAGGGAAGAAGAGAGGAAGAGGAGAAGGAGTAAGCCATAAGTTATTGAGTACTCAGGCAAGAGCCTAAGAGGATTTGTCTGAATATCCATGTGGCTAGCACTTAACAGATCACTAGTACAATAGAGGCATGGAAAAACTAAAGAGATGACCAGTTTTCTATACTTCTTGACTATTATAGTGGAAGTACATGTTATTAGGTTTTTTTGTTTTGTTTTTTTTTAACCACTTGTTTCCCCTTACTCCACAAAGCCATACTGAAAAGGAATGCAGTGTCTTACCTGAACACAGATAGAATTTCTATTTGTAATGTAGTTTTCTTTACTTGAATTTTGATATGTTATTGTGTTAAAGTCAAGTCCATGCCCATGTTAATCAGAAGCTTTAGATTATACAGTTTATGCTTGAAACCTGTTGCCTTTTCTTCAGTTTAACAATTATAAGGTAACCTTTTTCTCTTCTGCAGTCTTCAGAACTCTGCTAGGGTTGGACTCTATTCTGTAGGCATTGTGCCATAGCCAAAGTGTGAGGTCTGCGATCAGACATTTTTCTTAGAGTGCAATCAGCTTCAATCTCTTACCAGCTATGTGATTGCTGGACAAGTCTCTTAACTCCACTGTGAATTTAGTTTTCTTTTACCTTATATTACCTATATAATAGAGTTTTGATGAGGATAAACTAAAAATGCAAAGAGAAGCACTTTGTAAACTAAAAAAACACTTTACAAATTTAAGGTATTATTTCCTACCTCATTGAAATATTTACCTTGTTTCTAAAGAGTTTATATTTTATGCTTTTTTGTTTTGACTCTTCTTATTTTGACCTTAATTGTTTCTCCAAAAGCATATATACATGTGAGTGTCCTATAAACGATACTTGAAAGTAAATTGTTTTCTTCCTGGCTGTTCCCAATGCATATTTCTGATGGACCCTTCTTATTTTTTCTTTACTTATAGAAATTTTCAAAAATGAAAAACATCAAAAATAATGAGATGTGAATAAATCCACGTGGGTAGTGAAGATAAATGTTGCAATGGAAAAGTAAGCCTAACTTTCTAACTGAAAAACAACTATTTTCCCAGCAACCTCCAGAAGAAAACTACTGGCACCTGCAATAGAGAAAACAACCTTATGAATTTTAACAGATAAAATTTAAAGAGAAACTTATGATACAGAATTTACATAGTCTATTCTGTTGTGCCAAAATCTTCATGTATTGTTTCATTGTTACTTAGGACATAGATATTTAATATTCACATGTTCATGGTTCTTATTTCCACAACCAACAGTTAAGCAATTGAAGAATAACTTTATATTTTGGTTTTTGAACAAAGCCAGTACAAAATAGGAAGACAGCTCACCAAATATTATCTTATTTTTTCAGAATTTGTTTTGCCATTTTTCTGGTGTTATCATCATTCCCGTTAAAAATAACTTTTAAAAAATTATATCAGAGAGTGATTTAAAACAACCAGGTTTCTTATCTGATTCCCTCGGAGCTGTAGAAATAAATTTTACTTCATGTTTTCAGTTTATTTTAGAAATACACTATAAATAAGTGTGTTTGAGGCTTAACAGCCAAAACCATGGTGAGTCATGGGAATTTTACTGTAACTTACTCCTCTCATCCCTAACAAGCAGAGTTCATGACTACAATATCATCAGAGATCTTATAATATGCCTTATTATTTTATGTACTGTATACCAGATAACCTTTTAGATGAATGTTTATTAGGATTGTAGGAAAATCATTTTCTTTATGTGTCATTATGTATTAAGTATATGAAGATGATATTCTTTTGCCTCTAACAAAATGAAGATAGAGAGTTTTCTCATTAAAGTTATACAGGAATTTAATGGAAAGCTTTGGTTTTGTTCATGGGTCATACTCTACAAACACTGTTAACTAATCTCCTATCTCATAATTATTTTACTTTATATATAGGAATTATTCATTGGTTTAATATCAAAGAGTTTCTAATAACAAATTATAAGACAACTTTTCAACAGAAAAATATTACAGTTAAAAATTTTTTACACAATTTTTATATATACTTGTGCTCTACTTAACAATGTTTCAGACAAAGATGGACCTCATGTATAATGGTGGTCCTTAAGATTATAATGGAGCCAAAAATTCCTATTACCTAGTGATACTGTAGCCATCATAACATCTTAGCACAAATGTTGCAAAAATCAACAAGGCTGTGGTTAGGATGACAAACAACTTTAACCTGAGTGTGAATGAGGGTGACATCGAAGAGCTCCTAGAGGTGGTTTCTTAGCAATTGACTAATGAGATATCAGACCTAGAATAGAAACACATAGCTGAAGAAGAGGCAAAAGAAGGGAAAATACAGGAAAAGAACAAGAACCCTAACTAATTTCCTGGACCCAAACACCAAAAGATATTCATTAATAGAGAGGAATGGTCATGGTGCATTATCTATTTACAAGCAAATTTATGATGAAAAAAAGAAACAAACCAAGCAAATCATTATGGACATATTTCTGAAAAGAGTGACACCTGCTCAAGAAGAGCCTTGGGCAGGTCCTTCAGGAGATATTCCAGAAGAAGACATTGCTATTATAAATGACAGCTCTATGCCTGTTACTGCCCCTGAAGAACTTACAGTGGGACAGGATGTGGAGGTGGAAGACAGTGATATTGATGATTATAACCTTGCGTGGGCCTAGGTTTATGTGTGTGTTTGTGCCTTAGTTTTTAATAAAAAAATTTAAAAAGCAAAAAATTAATAAAAATACTTATAGACTAAGCATATAAAGAAAAACATTTTTGTAGAGCTATATGTGTTTGTGTTTTAAGCTGTTATTACAAGAGTCAAATACTTTAAAAAATTTAAAAGTTTGTAAAATAAAAATGTTACAGTAAGCTAGTTAAGTCATTATTGAAGAAAGAAAAATATTTTTAATAAATTCAGTGTAGCCTAAGCATACAGTATTTATGAAGTTTACAGTAGTGTACAGTAATGTCTTAGGCTTCTACGTTCACTCCCTACTCACTAACTCACCCAGAGTAACTTTTAGTCCTATAAACTCTATTCATGATAAGATACAGGTGTGCCATTTTTCATCTTTTTCTACCATTTTTTTTACTGTACTTTTTCCATGTTTAGGATGTTTAAATACACAAATAGTTACCATAATAGTTACCATTGTATTACAATTGCCTATAATATTCAGTACTTTAACATGCTATACAGGTTTGTAGCCTAGGAGCAATATGCTATATCAGAGAGCCTAGGTGTATAGTAGGCTATACCATCTAGGTTGGTGTAAGTATACTCTATGATGTTCACATAGTGATAAAATTTCCTAACGATGCATTTCTCAGAATATATCCTCATTGTTAAGTGATGCATGACTGTATTGTGATTCAACTTCCTTCCCCTGATCTTTTTTTTTTCTTTTTAAGAGGAAATGAATCCTGATTTCCAATACCTAAAGATTGTTTAGAAATTTGATGTGGTAATATTGTTTGTTATCTACAATTTCTTAAATTTTCTTAGATGGTTTCACTGTTTTTATTTTGCTAATTTTTGCCTCTAAGAACAAGAACATTTCAAAGTTTGTGTCTCCAGAGAATCCTTTCTCAACCAACATCCTTGGCAAACTGGTGTTTTTGGACTTAGAACTCACAGGCGAATTTGCTATTTTGATATATGAGGCCAATTAAATTTGTATTTTCAGTAAGTATAATTCTTTAATTAGAAAATTAAGAGAATGCATCACAGTTTGGTCGTAAATCATCAAGGGCTTTCTAGTGGAAATCATATGTAACATTTCTAATTTAATATAAATCCTTGTATGTACTGTGCTTCCAGCTCTCTTGATATTGAAAAGTGTAATAAATGTTATGCTTATCTATGAAAGATTTTTGGAAGTTGAAAATAAAATGTTCTAATTTTCATCTGTATGTGTGTGTGTTCTCTGTCATGTTTAACTCTGGAATAACTATCTTCCTATAACAACTAAGTTAAAATATTCTTTAATTAGAATTGGAATCAGTTCTTCACTACCAAGGAGGACAGTGCCTGTATTAAAGAAGCCAAGAGAGCAACCATCTTCACTCCCTCCAATTCCCAACCAGGGACCTCAGTGCTGAACACAGTGACTGAGTTTCACAGCACAGTCAGGCTGCCCAGATAGCTGCCAAGCCTATCGGTTATTAACACTGCTTTCTTCCTAATTGAATCAGTCAAGCAGTCAAGGGAAGAGGTTAGAAAGAGAGTGAGAAGTGGATAAAGGAAAATGTTCTCCTTTAAGATGTGTTCCACTCTTATAACCAGGACTTTAATATATATATTTTTAAAAAAGTCTGTTTTAAGATCAAAGTCATATTAACGAGACTTCTAGGTGCTTATCTAAAGGCTTAAAATACAAGTTACTTCTAAAAGGAAGAAGATACGTAAAACTCCTTAGAAGGAAGAGTCAGAATTAGGATCCAAACATATCTCAATAGGCTGGAATATTAAAAATTGATACTAATAGAATTAAAGTATTGATTTTGTTTTATCATCAAAATATTTCCACCATTTTACCATTTCTTACTACTTCCACTTCTACTGTGACCCAAGCTTCTTAGATAACTGTATTCACCCATAACTGTTCTCCCTGTTCCTGCTCCTGTTACCAGTCAATCCATTCTTATTGTAGTAGCAAGAATGATCTCGTTAAAACTTATTGTATTATTTAACACCACAGTTGTTTTCTACCTCATTAGAGTAAAAGTCAAAATTCCTGAAATGATCTACAAAGCCCTACATAATCTATTCCTATTATCTCTCTGGCCTCTTCTCATTCACTGTGCTCAAGTCATGCCACCTCCCCTTTGTTCATCAAACATGCCAGAACACTTGCTTTCTCCCCACTTAAAAATGGTTTTTGCTCAGATATTCACATAGGTCCCTCCCTCACTTCCCACCCTGACCACACTACCTCATACTGTAATCTCAACCCAATCTGGTTCTTCCTATCTCCTTCCCCCATATTACTTTATTTTTGTTTCTAATAATTAATTTTATCTAAATTACTATAATTAAAAAACAAATCTTTGAGTGTGGCATTGATCTGCTGATACGCCTGGGATATGATATTTTTTTATGTTTACTACATTGGTCAAAAATAAGTAAAGGTAGTTTCAAAGGATTTAACTCAGCCATTTCTACTCTAATATAGCTTTCTCCATGAACCAAGAAACCTTTTCTATGGTTCCAAGAGACACTGTATATGTCCATTTTGATGATAAGTTAAGAAATGAGGAAATGAGCACTGGTAAGGTCTGAGGAAACAATGAACCCATTGTGAGATAGACTTGGCCCAGGAGACTCTACTTATATTTAACCTACTCTAAGAGGAGTTGCATTATTTACAAAATGATAAATCTAAGCACTCTGTGCATGACTGCCATAATTGTCAATTATATATTCTGTCATTAATGTATTGAAGCTGTACTAAAGAATGAAAGCTAGATACACACCCTTTTAGGTGACTAGCAAGGTACCTAAGCAGAAAGGCCCTAGTCCCTGTAGCTTCCTATGCTGATGTGACTCATGCAAAACATCTTCTTGTCATTTCTTGAGAATAGTGCAATGATTGGGTACATGAGACAATATACCTGGGTGTCTGAAGACCCCAGGATATTGTTCTGCATTGTGCTTGCTATCTGTTTTCTACCCTTTATTAAAGCTAAGTAAACTTGGTGCTGGGCAAGCCTATTGTGTCTGTATATGTGAATTACAGTCTGAAACTGAAACTCACTCTAGTAGTTTTGTCCTTGTACAAAAGAAACAAAAGAAACAAAAATATTAGAAACAAAAAATATAATAATTAAAAAAACAAATTAAGCAGAACAGAAAAGAAAGTTGATGAGATGGTAGATTTTAAGTTATCACCCAGAATGCAGCAAAGAAAGATAAGATGAAAAATATAAGAGATATTAAAAGACATTAAAATGAGTTTAAGAAGGTATAATATTTATTTAGAGTAAGAGGAGAAATTGATAATGGCAATGGCTGAGGTGAGTCAATATTCAAAGATGATAGCTAAGAATGGTCTAGAATTAGTTAATGCTAATTAATAAATTAATACTAATTCTCAGATTTGGAAAATACAGCATACCTCAAGAAGGATTAAAAAACTAATTTTCCGACACATTGTATTATAGTGAAATTTGAGAAGATGAATACAAAGATAAGGCTGGAGTGTCAAATGGGCAAACAGTAGACATTACTAGGGCCAAAACAGAAGCCAGACACCAAGGTACTGGACGGGGTGGGAGCGGAGGGGAAGGGGGTGGCAGGCGGAGGGGGAATTCTCAAAAACTGTGAACTGAACTGAATTGAATATCTAAAAATAATTAGAATGAAACACTTTTACAGATAAACAAAAACAGAGAAGATTTATCATCATTTGAGTTCTTGGTACAAAACTACATAAAGGATGTACTCTAGGAAAAAAAATGAATCCAGAAATAAAGATCTGTGGACAAGAAGGAAGGATATGTTAAAAGAGAATTTACAGAATGGGAGAAGATATTTGCCATATATACATCCAACAAAAGAATTGTGTCTAGAATATATAAATAACTCCTATAATTATTAAATAAATTTTCAGAAAGGATAAAGGACTTAAGCAAGCATTTCATAAACAAGGATATTTAAATGGATACTTAGCATGTGTAAATGTTCTCAAAATCACAGCAGTCTTCAGGAAAATGCAAATTAAACCGACAATGACATATACCATTATAAATCTACCAGATGGCTATTTCTTTTTTAAATGACAAGAACAAGATTTGGAGAAAGTGTGGAGCAATAAGAACTCACACATATTGCCAGTGGGAGTTTACATTAATGCACCTACTTTGGAAAACTACAGTATCTGCTAAAGCTAAACATATACCTACCCTACAACCCAGAATCTCCTCTCTTAGGTGTAAACCAAACAAAATTGAGTGCATTTTTCTGCCAATAAGACATGTACAAAGATGTTTGTAGCAGCCTTATTCATAGTAGCTCCAACTAGAAATAACCCATGCCCATGAGCTGTAGGATAAACAGATAAATTATGGAAAATGATATAAGAACAACATGAGTGCAATGATACATGCAGTGACATAAATATATTTCAAAATCATAATTTTGAATGACAGAAGTCAAACACAAAAATAGTATATGCTATATGATCCATTTAAATTAATTTTAAGAGCGTACAATGATAATTTATGTTAATGGAAGTAAACTGCATTTGAGTTGGGAATGACTAGGAAAGGTAAAATAAAGCTTTCTGGGAGCGCTAGCAATGTTCTGTATTTTAATCTGTGTTCTGGCTATATGGACATACACATAGATACAATGTTGCCAAGCTTTACATTTAAGAATTGTGAA